CCAGATGTTCTTGGACTTCAACTCCCAGAAGCCTTCACCACCACCTCTGCTGGCCAGGATGTCTGGGAGTTGAAGGCCAAGAACATCTGGAGGGCCACAGTTCGACACCACTGCTCTAGAGTCATTGGAAGCCATCAGTAAATCATTTGGATCCATCTGCCTCCTGAGGTTGACCATCTTAACGGGCCCCCACACCTGCAGAGACTACAAATTCTAATGAGTCTACGTCCCACCAAGTAGCAATCTGACCATGGCAACAGGTCTACAGAGATCTCCTCTACATGAGTGAAGCAAGATACAACCTTGGACAGACCCATGCTCGTCCTGGAGGAAATGAAGTTCTACGTTTCTCCTGGTAAACTGGCCTTGGCACAACAAGCTAATGGCACTTGATCACCACCCCTGAGGCCTACTCAGCTAGTTGAGGAAGGAGGACTGTTTTGCAGCAGCGTGGGCTGTACACCAATGGAATCTTAGTTCAGTCCAGAATTCCGTATTTTGTTATACTTCAGATTCACTTACTCAAAAACAAGGAATGGTGGAATTGGGCACTGTGGAATCATGATATTCACTTGTAATACTTTACAGATGCCAGAAAGACAAACTGCTCTTAGATAAAATCAAGCTTGAATTCTCACGACAAGTTAAAATGACTAAACTGGATTTATTATACTTTGCTATGTAATCGGCAAAGAAAGGGGACCTGCTGATTTTTTTTTCTGTGAAGCTTAGTGAATCTCCTCGTTGGTACCATCCTACACAGAGTGAAAAATCATAGCTTTTCTTACAGTGAAGCCAGCCCATGCAGTGAAGTGCAGGTTGTATCTTGGAAGGATAGTTTAACTAGTATAGTCTCTCTCTCTCTCTCTCTCTCTCTCTCTCTCTCTCTCTCTCTCTCTCTTATCTTGCTAGTAGCAGTTTTCTTGTCCTTGTCACTCAGAGAGGTAAATAAAGTAGAATACGTAAATTACATACTGAAAACTTACCATAATGCATGTAGCAGTTCCCTTTTGTTGGATCCAGCTGAATTGCCTTTAAGAAATATTTCTCTGCCTCACTTTTACGACCCTTCAAAAAAAAGCAGGGGGGGAATAGACAGATGGATTATTGGATAATGAATCATTCCACTTTCCCTTACTTAAACTAATGTATAAAGAGCCAAAGGAAGGGCCCACACTTGGGGGAAATGTTCTGTATTTTATTGAAAAAGACACCTTTAATCAACCATTAAAAATATAAAACAAAAACAAAATAACAAATAGCAATGATAAATCATCTTCTTCAAGGCTGTGCATAAAGTTCTTGTGGGCAGTTCCAAAACTGTGTGCTGTTTTAATGTCCCAAATTCACATGGCTTATCAGTGTAGAGGCAAGGCAAGCGATTCCATGTTATTTATGTTGTTTCTCGGTTAATTGTTTTCACGCTTCCAACAGGGGTAATGTCAGTCTACTGCAGTAAAAACAGAGTTTTGTTACACCTTAAAGGTTTTTAAGACTTATAAAAGCATAACCTTTCAGGAAGAATGTCCAAGAAAGCTTAGGCCATCATGTAACTTAGGCCATCATGCTTGCGATTTATGCATGTGCATGTTAAACTGCATGGCTCACCATGGCAAATTCCTGCTAACTAATGCAGTACCAGTTTTGCTTCTGGAAATGCTCCTGGTGCACAAGTGGGTGCAAACCTCATACTGAGAACAGTGCCCTGTTAGTTAGTGGACATTTGCTGCAATGAGCTAAGCAACCTAATTTATGCATGCATAAATTAAAACAGGAATCTGGCTACTAGTTCTTAAGGTGTCAAGTTACTATGTGCACAAGGGAAATTGTAAAAGTGGAGAGGTTCAATTCTCTGTCAGGTATTACAACCAAAAGTGAGACCAGGCATATGATCGGATCTTATCACACAGCGACAATCAGTTCTGTGGTCCCCCACATGTGCATTGTAAGTGAAGATAATACTGTCCTTTTTTGTTTTCACACAGCGTAAAATGAAAAATCCTCAGTACTGATAGTTTCTTGAACCAAAACCATTTTGTGAATTTATTATACAGTTTGCCTCTCAGGACTTGACAAGGAAGAACAAACTCAAGGTTAAAATAAACAACAACAACAGAAATAGGTACAAAGAGGAACACAAACAGTTATATGAAAGCAGAATCATACAATCATAGAATAATGGAATTGGAAGGGCCATCAAGACCAACTCAAAGCAGGAATCCAAATCAAAGCAAATCTGACAGATGGTTGTCCAATTTTTTTTTTCTTGAATGCCTTGAATGTTGAATTGTAACATTAAAACACAACAGAATTAAAAGCAATGGGAAGGAAAAAAAACTGCATTAAAATAACAAGCTCTGGTGGCGGGTAGACAAGACAGCCGCTTCCTCTGTAGCACCACCACAATGGTGGAAGTCTGTCCTAAGGGAAGGCAGGCAGGCGGGCTCCAACCACAACGGAAAGGCTCCATCCCTGCCAGTAAGTAGCCAACCCTGTATTATTTTCATGGCTTCTAATTTTTAAAAGTGGCTTTAGAACTGGCTCAGCCTTATCCTCAATCTGCTTTTAAAGAATGCTGGCTTTTGAAGTCCCTTTTTAAAAATGGTCTGTGAACATTGTTTTTAATCTGTTTACAAATAGTATTTGTAACTTTTTGTTGCTTTGTATCAGTTTTTGGTCCCTCCTGGGCTCAGAAGTGAGAAGTATTTTTTGATAAATAAGTAATAAATCTATTAAAATCCCTTCCCCAGGTAACTGTTTCAAACATATGAGAATAACAAGATCCAAAGCCAACTACACCGGAGCACAGAGTGTGCTCTCCTCTGAAGATGCCGGCCACAGAGAATGGCGAAACGTTAGGAAAAACAACCTTCTGAACACGGCCAAAGAGCCCGAAAAACCCACAACAACCATTAGATGACGGCCGTGAAAGCCTTCGCGAATATATTAATAACAAGATCATTTGAGGCCGTAACTTTCGCAGGAATGCACTGCTTATGATGCTCCTTTATGAGCCCTCTCCAAACCCGCTGTTTTGAGTTGATTTAGTGTCATATAGGATTCATATAGGATTTAGTGTCAAGTAACCAGAAGGCGTGCAATCCTAAATCAGATGGCACAAGGGAACAAATTGGAGCTTTGCAATGTATAGCTAGAAGAGAATATCCACATTAAATACTTGCTTGCAAATAGCTGGCCTTACATAAGTTAGGAGTTACATGTTGAGCTTATCTACCAAGGCTCATTTCCACTTGAACTAAATGAGGATACAGTGAGTGAAATAAAGCAAACATTTAAATAATGTTCAGAAGAAGGAAGACAGGGATAAGTGGAAAGAAGAATGAATGCCTCCTGGCAGAACCATAAGGATAATTGGGATTATAGGATAAACACAATAAATTAAAAAACAGAGCAGGGCATGAAATACTATCCCCCTCATCTGGCAAGTTTCCTTTTGCAATTCTGCAGGTCTCCTAAATTGCAGACTGAGACTGGAACACACTGCAAATACTGACCGAATTAACATTTACATCTTTTGTGTCATTATCCTGAAACAAACGAACGCTATTAGTCTTAGCCAGCTAATTATCTCATGTCTCATTACACACTCAGATTTCTGCTTCTAGAGAAAGGTAGCAATTCACTCAATTACTTCCTTGCCTGTTAAGCTTCAGCCTACAGAATTATCTCCATGAAACCGAAAGCAATGCCAAATATTTTTCAAGAGTTCCATCATCTGCTTCTCAAAACCCTCTTGTACTCCAATTTCCTGAAAGTTGTCTCTCCCTGTGAAAGAGGCTACTGCTTTTCCTGCCTCAGTCTCAAGACATTTCATGATCTGTTTTAGAATTTCTGTTTTGTGTTGACTGTAACACTGTGATGTGGCCAAATGTCTAAAAGGGATATGCTTACACACTTTTCCTGGCTACTTGTAAGAGAAAGAATCCGATATTATGAAAATTCAATGAAATGTTCTTTTTTGTTGAATCACTCCTCCCTTGCCAAAAAAAGCAATTTCTTGAGAAAGAACCAAGTGTAATAAATAGATGGCCAAAATCCTGTTGCATAGTTACACTGGTGGAAGTGCAAGAAAATAACTCTCAACTCCCAGTGGCAAACTTCCACCACATAACAAGTCACTTCTTGGATTTTGGGTCAAACCATCTGACTGACACACAATGAATAATCTATGGAGTGACTTATTAACTAGTGGCAATTTGCTGCAGTAAATTACACATTGTCTTTCTGCCAGCATAACTATGAAACGGGATTGGGGCTATACCTTTATGAATAGGCAAATGCTATACATTAGCAGAAAAGCAGATGTAAAAGCTTTTTAGTTTGTGGTGCTTGGTAATTGACAGGGTGAATAAATAGGTATATTTTGCTGTTAGGTCAAAAGGTCTCCCATAGCAGATTATAATTATCGGGAGTAAAACAGTTGTATATCTAGTATGTATGGAGCAGAAGGGAAAGTGTTAGGTCATAAAGTTATACAGTAGTTCTTATCATTACTATTTGGGATAGAAGTAGTATCAGAAATTACTTCCAGGTAGGTGACAAGGCAGCTGGTTTCTCAGCAGGGGCCCTGAAACAGCTCTCTTCCTCTATTTTGCAACTTCACGGAGCATGACAGTCATTTAGCCTGTTTATTGTTTGACTGTATCCAACAAAATTTAAATAGCTACCAAGAAGCCTTTATTGCTTCTCCTGAGTTTACCAAAAAAGATACTATTAAGGAGACAGATTCTCTCTCTCACACACACTCTCTCTCTCTCTCTAACCTTACCACTTGAGGCAACATAAAATCTAGTCATTTGACAGAATTAGGCCATTTCAGTTTAACTTTTGGCATCTACCAAACTTGTACCTTTTTAAAAAACAGATAATGCAAATTTGACTTCTCTCAGGAAAACCTGAATGAAAGTACAAATATGGGGTAATAATTTCATTTACAGCTGAATTTTTTACTTTGTCCATTACAGAAGCCTAAAGAAGGACTAGAAGAAAGGAATCTTTCTCCATTTTTAGGGGGGGGGGACTATGATGCAACTACAAGTGTGTTTAGACTATATCCTATTGCAAGTAGATTCAATTGTGCTATACGTCAATTTGAATTATTATTATTTTCCTTTTTAAATTGAGTGATATTTAGAATAATATTTAATGAAGGGTGACATTGCACTGAGTTAATTATGGTTTGGGTTAGCTTTGTTTTAGTGCAATGAGAATTCAAATATTCTATGGAGTGTGTGTGTGTGTGTGTGGAGGGGTAGCATTTCATGTACACTTTGTTTTCCTTTCAGCAACAAGAATTCCAGTTCCCTTCTTGAATGGAGCTAATCCCCTAGTGACCACAGCATGTCATTCCTTCTCCAAATTATGGTTTGCCAAGAAACGGCATGGAACTTTTTTTGTTGTTCCAATGTTTTATACTGTCTCATGACAACAAGCAAAAATTTGTTGGGGCACATTTTTGTCTCAGTTATTTTTTGTTTTCTAACATAAGGCATTATGCAGCAATTCTGGAGGCACTTCCAGAGTGACCCTGTGCATCTTAGCAATGCACAAGGGAAGGAAACAATAGGAACAAATGGCCAAAGCTACTCCAGAGATCTAGTGCTTAGAGGCTTAGTGCTTCTCTCGTCAGGTGGAAAAAAAGAAATTCAAAGGGAAAATCATCATTTGTTTTGAAATACCAATGTCAGCTGTTGTAGGTGTCACTATTTACCTAACTACAGTATGATGGATCACAATGCCCGGAACCTTAAAGCAGTGGTTCTAAAACAGGGGTCCCCAGATGTTCTTGGACTTCGATTCCCAGAAACCTTACCACTTGCTGTGCTGGCCAGGATTTCTGGGAAGCTGCAGTTCAAGAACATCTGGGGATCCAAGTCTGAGAACTACTGCCTTAAAGAACCATCACGTTCCTATAATCAGCAAAAACATGGGTGGGTAATTCACCAGCACGAATAATGGTCTGAAGCCTGTACTAAGTTGGTGTTTGTGAGGGAAACAACCATACCAGCAAAGAGAAAGAGGCAAATGGATGAAATGGGGAGTGTAAT